GCCTTAGCTGGTTGAGCTATAGGCGCCGAGCCAACATCATTTTTTAAAACAAGAATTTCTCAGCAGTTTTATCTAAAGATTGGCCTTTATAGGATGCGAACATGTTAGGATTTGATTCACAAGAACATTTGCATTGACCTTTTGCTCAGTTTGCTTTGAAAATGTACAAGATACGATGGGTCTAAGCATCAGTAAATGCTTTTAATAAAACATAAATTCCATTTCTCCCGGGGAAAAGAGGTCATATTCTTTATTTGAACCATGTCAGGTGGCTACAAGTAAAAAAGGAAATCGGGGGAAGTCACTGATTAAAAAGTATTTAACTTCCCTTCTCACTGTTTAAACGTACCAGTTTACATGGAGAGACCCCTCTCTCTCTGACGAAAGGCTGTTCTAAGACTGTCACGTGTATCCTTTGTTGAAAATTACTCACTTTTGTACAGTGATACACATCTTGAAACACATGATCAAACATCCAGCTTATTGGATTCTCATACAAAGCCTGTGAGTTGAGCAGGACCAGGGTTAATGTTACATTTAGCGGAGGAGTTTGTAAGTCAACTTCTGAGATTCCCCCAGGGATCTTGCCTTTGTAATTTATGCCCAGGTGTAATCCCCTTCCCTGGCATGTGGATTAGACCTGTGACTTGCTCCTAATCAATAGAATACAGCAAAGGTGATGGGATGTCCCTTTGTGATTAGATTAAAAAGATGATGCTTTTTATTTTATGAGCAGATTCTCTCTATTGCTTCTCAGCTTGCAAGCTTGGGGGGAAGCAGGCTGTCATTTAGAGAGGCCCATGTGACAAGGGACTGAATCCTCCCAACAACCATGTGAGCTTAGCAGTGGCACCTTCTCCCAAGAAACCTTGAGCCCAGACAAATCCTAGATGACAGCTTCTGAGAGAGGCTGAAGTACAGAAACCAGCTAAGCCATGCCCAAATTCCTGACCCACAAAAACCATGAGATAGTAAATATGTAATTTTATGGCAATTAGTTATTCAGCAACAGATAACTAATACCAGAGGTAAACTGAGGCTGAGCGTAAGTAGTCTATGGGGATTTAAAAGGATACTACAAATTCTTTGACACTTCTGTCTTCCAGAGGTGAGTTCTACATCTCCTTTACTTGTATCTAGGCAGGGATATTATTGCTCCCACCACAGGATATCCTGGAAATGAAGCTTCCAAGACTCAGTTGTAGAAGACCATGCAGCTTCTACCTTCATTAAAATATTCACTTTTGAAGCCCTGAGCCCTGTTCAACTATCCTGATGTGGCCATGCTGTGAGGATGCCCAGCCCACTTGAGGAAGCCTCATGTAAGCACACCAATCCACAGCTCAGCTGAGCCTACTCACCCCAAACCAGGCAACAAACAGGTAAGTAGAGAAGCCTTCAGATGATTTCAGCCCCAGCCATTCAAGTTTTCCCAGGCAAGACTCCAAATATTCTGGAGCAGAGACAGGCCATTCCTCTGTACACTGAATTCCTAACCACAGGATTTCTGAGCACAGTGCAATAGCTGCTGTTTTACTCTTCTGGTTTGGGGGGGTGGGGTGGATTTTACACTGTAGCAGGCAGCTGGACCACTGCCCAATGTTGTGCAGCTTGTGAACAGTGTTGGAGTGTGGATCCAAGTTTTCTGAGTCTTACTTCGGCATTGTGTCCAGCACACAGATGTTGCCTTTTTATCTAGGGTGTTTATGTTTCTTTCTGCTTGTTCTGAGAGAATCTCTACTGCAGCATGATCAATGTTGGCAACAGACCAGAATCACTGGGAAGCATTAAAAATACTAATGTCTGGGTCCTGTCCCCAGAGATGATGACTATTTGGTCTGGAGTATAGCCTAAGTATCAGATTTGACAAAATTTCCTAAGTGGCTTGACATACAGCCGTGTTTGAGAACCACGGCCCTAGACTAACATACTCATACTCACGCTTTCACGAGCAAGGAAAGATCATACCTGGCCATGATCAAATCAATTTTTTGTTAAATTTTAGGTTAATATTAAGGTACATACAATTAGGTGACATTGTTTGCGTTTGTTGGGTAAAGGCCAAATTGTAGTTGAGTCCTTCAACAAGGAGGTGTGCCTTATAACATTGTACCCACTAGGTGGGAGCTTACCAACCCCCACTCCTTCCTGTTTCTTGAATTTAATTGTGTTTTCCTCTCATGTGGGCCTGTAGTTATTCCTCCACCAGTTTCAATTAATACTGAGTACCTAAGACGCTTACTTTTCTATTCTTGAGATACTTTACTTAAGATAATGTTCTCCAAATCTATCCAGGTAAATACAAAAGATGCAAAGTCTCCATCTTTTTATGTCTGAGTAGTTATTCCATGGCGTACAAGTAACACAGTTTATTAATCTATTTATGGGCTGATGGACATTCGGGCTGTTTTTACATCTTTGCCACTGTGAATTGAGCTGCTATAAACATTTGAGTGCAAACGTCCTTATGGTAAAGTAATTTTCTAATCAATTCTTGATGATCTGTGACCTTTAGGGTCATTGGTAAGTATTTAGAATCACAGAAATTAAAATTCTTTAATATTGAAGGTGTATTGAATTCTGTAAATTATAATCCAACAATGATATAAGCAGTGGTGTAGGCTCATAGAAGGAACAGTTGATTTGTTTTAAACAAGAAGGTTTAAAACAATGTGACTTGAAGGAGAAATTACCTAGGTCATGCTCTCCCACCCCTCTGCAGTACCTGCATATGCACAGAATTTATTCCTTGTAAAAGTTGCATACTAAAAGCTATAAAACTGTTCTTGTTTCCAGTGATGAAAGAAAAACATTGAAATTATGTAATCAAACAGGGTAAATTGTCAAACAGTAGAAAAAAATGACTTCCTGGTCTTAATAGTTGAACAAACAAGCTTGGAGGAGAAGAAAGGTGGTATTATGTAGAAACCCCATCTCAGTTTGATCAAATAGCATAATGACCATTTAAAACATATGCGTGCATGTGTGTGCATTTCTAAGCTCATACTTTATATTTTAGGTAGTATAAAGACATAGGAAGTGGGTTCGAAACTGAAGAAAATTTTACTGCATTAGCTGAGATGTGTCTACCAAGATCATGGTTTCTAATGGGAGCTGCATAGCTGCTCATGGAAATGTCCCTCAGAAATGGCAGGATCTCTGTTCAGTGGACACCCCCTTGTGACTATGGAACTTGTTCATTCCAACCTTATCCTCCTCTTTCAACTGCCCAGGTCTGCCTGTGTCTCCTTGACCGGCTGCCTGTTAAATCAGAATCTGTCCTTCACTCAGGAGTGTCCCACCTGAGGTGTCACATGCTGACTATTTGAGGACTGTTTTACTTATCTATGGTGTTGGATATCTGAAAAGTATGCACGGACCTTTTTCAGGCTTATCAGCTATTGTTAGTGTTTGTGTATTTAATGTGTGGCCCAAGACAATTCTGATTCTTCCGATTTGCAGCCGAGGAAAAAGGTTGGGTACCCCTGCATGCATGCACTAGGAGTTAGCCTTAAATTGTAGCCGAGAATCAGCCTACTTTGTCAACTTCAAACTTTCACTTCTTTTGTAGGCATTTAACAAAAAACAGTATGATTTTTTTATTTTCTACTTCAGAGGGACTGTATAAATTTACACTGAAGAAACGGGAAACAAAGAATCTCACCACACTGCTTGGGCATAACTTCATAGAAAATATACTTTCTGAGCTTGTCCTTGAGGAAAGCTGCTGGAAACTGTCAGAAGTTTCTAAAACACACACAATACAAAGCCTTAAGAGAGATTATAGCATAGTTAGAAAATCAAGAATAAAACCTGAGAAAATTAAACTCTGTTACAATAATGTCAAAAAATGCTTAAACATTTGGCAAGTATTTGGTATAAGTAACCTATGCTATGAGTTTAGAAAAGAAAGATATCAGCTGTGTGTGGGGGTTCATGTCTGTAATCCCAGCACTTTGGAAGGTCAAGGCAGGAGGACTGTTTGAGGCCAAGAGTTTGATACCAGCTTGGGCAACAGCAAGACCTCTCTTTCCACACACAAAAAAACAGAAACAAAAACA